GTCTTGCTTTGAAATCTGTTTTTTAACATTGTTTTCTTTATTATCTGTTTTGTTCTGTTTTGTTATGTTTAATTTTACCCTCTTAAAAAATAAATTTTTTAAAAAAGAATAAATTTCAGATATTTCACAATAAAAATGATGTAAGTAAGCTAGGTGATGGATTTGTTAACTAGTTTGATTTAATCGTTCCACATGGTATATCAAATCATGAGATTGTACTTCCATAATTGTATCCAACTATGACTTGTCAATCAAAAATAATAACTATTAAAATACATTGGCAAAAGAGGTACCAATAAGCATGTTTGAAGAAAAATAAGTTATTTTAATTTTTAAAAACTAGTTAGAAGGGCTGGGGATATAGTTCAGTGGCACAGTGCCTTCCTGGCAAGCACAGGTCATGAGTGTCCTGGTACCAAGAAAAATAAATAAAAGGAGTTTGAAAAAACATTGAGGAATATTTTTAAAGCTATAAAAATGTAAATATAATACCTATTTAATAAAAAAACAGGGATATGGATATATTTGTAGAATTAATGGAGGGGAAGGGTGTATGCACATTTATGCATCTAGTGAAAGGCAGGAAGTGGATTGTAGGTATGGAAATGGGATAAGAGTGATAAACTATTATTCATGGAAAAAAGTCAATGAACTTTCTAAAACTGGGTGTGGTGGCACATGCCTGTAATTCCAGCAATTAGGAGGCTGAGGCAGGAAGATTGCTATGATTGGGATGAGCATCTAACTCCAAATATGCACTCATTGGAGCACTACGAACAGTAGCCCAAACTATCTCCTATGAGGTCACACTACCTATCATTGTCCTCCGTCCTACTTCTAAAAGGGTCATTCTCCTTAGTTAAGTTGGCAACTCTAAAGAATACTTGACTACTTCTATCTATTCACACTCCCAAGTAGCTTATATATAAAACAGGGCATTGAAAATGCCTAGATGAGTTTTATAACCCACAAACAGTAGGTTTGGTCCTGGCTTTTTTATTAATAGTTAGAAGAACTATACATGCAAGAGTCATCACACTGGTGAGAATGCCCTCTAAATCAAAAAGATCAAAAGGAGCAGGTATGAAGCACATTATACAGTAGCTCATAACACCTTGCTTTGCCACACCCCAGTAATAAAAATTATTAGCCAAAAAGTTTGACTAAGTCATGCAACAAATATTAGGACTGGTAAATTTTGTGCCAGCCACTGTAATCATACCATTAACAGAAATTAATAAATTCCAGGGTAAAAAGTGTTTTACAGAACTGAAAAATAAGATTAAATTTTATCTGGGTTATAAAAAACTTCAGATAAAATGAGCCAAAAACGAAAGTAATCTTAATATATCTAAATGCACAAAAGCTAAGGTTTAAACTGGGATTAGACAGCCACTATACTTAGCCATAAACATAAAAATTTTACAATAAAAGCTTTCACCTGAGAACTACTAGCAACAGCTTAAAACTCAAAGGACGTGGCAGTGCTTTACATCCACCTGGAGGAGCCTCTTCTATAGTTGATAAACCTCCCTCCGTTCACCTCATCTCTGCTTGCTAATTCAGCCTGTCTACCGCCATCTTCAACAAGCCCCACTATGGAGTTAAAGTAAGCACAAGTATATCACACAAAAACGTTAGGTCAAAGTGTAGCCCATGAGGTGGGAAGAAATGGGCCACGTTTTCTTATCAAAAGAACAATTCAACATAAATCTTTTTGCAAATTAAAGATCCAAGGAGGATTTAGTAGTAAATTAAGAATAGAGAGCTTAATTGAACCAGGCCATGAAGCACATATACACCACCTGTTACCCTCCTCAAATATTTAAATTTTTAAACTCTAAAATCAATACAGTGTGAGAGGAGACAGGTCCTAACAAGGTAAGCATACTGAAAATTGTGCTTGGAAAACAAGTGTAGCTTAAACCAAAGCATTTGGCCTACAGTAGGAAGATTTTTCCCCCTTTTTTTTTTTTTTTTTTTTTTTTTGTCTTTTTGAGACAGAATTTCAGTATGCAGTTTGGGCTGGCCTTGAGCTCACTTTGTATCCCAGACTGCTCTCGAACTCACAATAGTCATTCTGCATCAGCATCCCAGGTGCTGGGATTACAAGCGTGCACCACTTTATTAAAAGTTATTAACCTGACACAGGAGTCCTATTCAGGAAAGGCTGAAAAAAGCAAAAGGTACTCAGCAAACATAGATCCCACCTGTTTACCAAAAACATCACCTCTAGCACTCCAAGAATTAGAGGAACTGCCTGCCCGGTGACAAGTCAGTTTAATGTCCACAGTGTCCTGACTGTGCAAAGGTAGCATAATCACTTGTCCTTTAAATGAGGACTTGCATGAAGGCCCAATGAGAATTTAACTGTTTCTTGCTTTCAGTCAGTGAAACTGACCTCCCTGTGCAGAGCTGAGGATCGACTAATAAGACAGAAGATTCTATGGAGCTTTAATTTATTCTTTACCACTTCCAGTTTGTAAGAACATAAAAATAAGATTTGAATTAATAATTTTGGTTGGGTTGACCTCGGAGAACAAATCCTTAGAATGATATTAACATAGACACAAGTCACAGTCTACCATCATTAATTGATCCAAAAACATTTTGATCAATGAACCAAGTTACCTTAGGGATAACAACACAATCCTGTTTCAGAGTTTATATTGACAGTTAGGGTTTACAACCCTGATGTTGGATCAGGAAATCCTAATGGTGCAGCCACTATTAAGAGTTCATTTCGTCAATGATTAAAGTGATTTGAGTTCAGACTGGAGTAACCCAGGTCAGTTTCTATTACAAATTTCTCCCAGTATAAAAGGACAAGAGAAATGAAGCAATTAATCAAATATACCTTAATAACTAAAAGATGATATCATATTACATTTGAAGTTATTTCATTCACAACCCAAGAAAAGTTTAAGATCGTGATAAATTACATAAAACTTAAAACTTTACATTCAGAAGTTCAACTCCTCTCCTTAACATTTATGTTCACAATCAAATTTTTTCTATTAATTATTCCTTTCTCCTAGCCATAGCATTTCTTACCTTAACAGAATGAAAAATTCTTGGCTACATACAAATATGTAAAGGAACAAATCTCACTGGACCCTACCTTCACAAGCAATCACAGATGCACTACAACTATTTATTAAAGAGCCACTTCACCCATCAACCTCCTGAATTCTCCTCTTTATCATAGCCCCGACCCTAGTCCTTATACTTGCTCTATACATATTAATCCCAATCCCAAGGGCAGCTGGGCTGCAAATTGAATTTAAAGCCTGTCTCAACTGCATGGTGAAACCTTGTCTCAAAAAAAAAATTAGAAGAATAAATAACTTTCTAACATTTCAAGAAATAGAAAAACAAGTAGATAGCATTAAAAAACAGAAGTGTATGCCACAAAAAAAGAAACAGTTAATTGCTACAGAATGTTAGCTATGGAGCAGGGAGTACAACAGACACTGCAAAATATATACACACAGACTACTTTAATAAACGCATAAAAAAGAAGAGGCAGAAAATAATACTCCAGAGTTTTTCTTCTAGGGATTAGTTTTTCTTTACCTATTCTTTGTACTATTACTTTCACTAAGATAGTCATGTTTTAAAAATGAAAGGATGTGAAAGATAGGAAAGCCCGCTTTTCATTTGTGTGCTTTATTATGTCAGTGTTTTTCTTGTTTCTTCTCACTTAAATCTTCATAACAACACCTTGGAGCAGACAGTGTATAAATACTATACTCTTACAGGTGATGAAAAGTAGCAGTCATGAAGCACGTATCACTATTAATCATATAACCATTGGTACTTTTTATTTTTTAACACTACTAGAAATACTAACAATTTAAAAAGAAGAAAGATGTGGATAAGAGAAACAAAAATAAAGATAAATATGAGACTTAAATAGAGACTGAGTATCTGCAGTGAAAGACGATGCAGAAAAAGTATACAAAGCTAGTAAATATAGAGCATCAAGGCTCCTTATTCTAAATATATAACATCTTATTTGTATGTTATTCATAATAGATGCAATTTACGTACATAATTAACTGTCAATGTATAAGGAGTTCCTATGAGAAGCATAGTGAATGTCATTCAAATAATAAAGTTGAATTAGTCTGTGGATCTTTTCAAATGGAGAGAGAATCTAGTCAAAGAAAGGAGATAATCAGACTAGCAAGTGAGTGGTCCGTATGAATGCAAAATGGACTTTAAAAACATAATAGGCTCAAAATTATAAGTTTTAGACTGAAGACTGGCCTATTATCTAATTCTTATTGCAAACTAGCCAGCACAAATACAAAATTTAATTAAATTATTCAGAGAATATTTTGAACTTTGTTCATCTCTGTGCAGAGAAATCTGTTCTTTTAAAGCTGAGAGGGAATGCTATGTTATAAGTGCAATTTACTCTAAAGTTGGAGACACAATGGACTCTTTCTTCCTCCACACCTTAGTACTGCTGGAACAATGTTTATCACAATGTAACATACATAATTATTTACAGGTCTGTCTATCCTGCTGGATAATGAAGTTTCGAGGGAGAAGAGCCATATGTTATTAGGTACTAAATAAAACATCTAGCTACAAAATAAGTTCTTATAAAAATGCAAGGTTTGAGTTAATATAAAACTCTCTAGAGAGGATAATTCACAAGTCTAAATGAAAACAAATATTCTGGAAAGATAGATTCTATTCAAATTTATGGTAGATCTTTTAATTTCATTGTTTCACACAATACCTAGGGTATAATACGTAACTAAATACTGCTTCCCTCATTAGGTTTCTCTTGATTTTCCAAATTACAAAGAACATCTTCCTTGCTCTGTGCTTCAAAGGACTTTTTACCTCTATGAAAGCCTGTACCTACTCTTATCCACCTAAATTTTTTAAAAAATGTGTTTTAAGAGATGATTACCCTCTTACTTACATTTAAATACACAAATGGCTACCACTGGCCTGGCGCAATAGTATGCAGTCAGCAAATGTTTGGTATTAGAAACTTTATTAGAATTCAAAATATTCAAAAGATTACAGTCAGTTTATAACATTTCCACGTCCTAATTTGGACTATATTTTGGATGAGAGCCACAGTGACTTCAGGAGCCTTTTGTATTTCGAATGAGTCCTTCTATTGTGTCCCATTCTTCTTTGGTGACCTGACATGAGAAGAAAATGTCGATTTAATGAGGTTCTCGAGTGGTTTTAAAGCCCAGCATCCTAGCTGCTAATATTATGTTAGATACACAAAAAGGCATTACCTTTCTTAAGCTGTTGAATTCACCTGAAATAAATGCTTCCTCTCCACCATCAAATCTAATGACCTGAAAAAAACATTAAAAACTCTGAAACTAACTTCATTTAAAAGTTTCTGAACTCTTATCCATTTTACCTTTCTAATCAGATGAAACTCTTCTGCAAACTTCCAATGAAAACTCAAGTGTTAAGAGATAATACTTATTTGGTTTTACTCTCTTCCAAAAAAGCAATAAGAACCATGGGAGCAATGAAACCCAAAATGTGTAATAGTTATTGTACAAAGGAGAGGAAAAGAAAGTGCTCTAAACTATATAACTGCATGTATATTTAAGTGTATAAGATAGAAAATGATATCACAGAGTTTTATTGGATCATTGAACAGAACTGTTTGCAGTATCATTGTTGGAATGTCCACTCTACAAGCTTTAATTTTGTGACTTGAACAATTATTTTTAAGATGGCAATATGTAATCCATTAACTAGTGATTTCCTACTGTTCATTTTTTTCTTCTGTAAATCTGTATAACTTGTACTCTTTCACTTTTTTTTCTTTTCTCCTTAAATAAAAAAAAAAGAGATAATACTTATGATTAAAATTAAATTGTTTTATTCTATTTAGAATCTTCTTTCTAACATCTCTACAATTTCAAAATTCCACTCAATCTTAAAGGTCATCTTAAAGCCATATCTACCAGGGTAACTTACATCTAATAAAATTATTTATCATGAAATAAACTTCATAGGCTGAAAAATATATGTATAAAATAGTTTTACATTATTTTATGGCTAAGTAAATACTCTAAATTACATGTACATTTATTCTTATCAGGATTGGTTCCAAAATAGGTCTCTTCACCCATCCCTCCAAAAAAGTCAAGAGATAAAACAATACTTACTGCACCACTAATCCAGGAAGCATAATCACTGCAAAGGAAAATAGCAAGATTTGCAAGCTCTTCTGCAGTCCCAAGCCGACCACAAGGAATTCTGTCAATCATATCTTTCTCGAATGTTCCAGTTGGGTCCATGCGGCTGAAGGCACCCTTAAAAATTAAGAAAACAATTAGGCTGCATGTGTATGTGTGTGTGTATGTTTAAATACAATCCTCTTCCTATTTTAGAAACAAATCTACCTAAAATGGAATGTTACTATATAGTATCCTCACTATACTTTAGCCCAGTAAGAAATAGCATTTTACAAAATCCTTTCACATTTACTTTAGGCTCAAGCAGGTCATTTAAAAAAAAATGCATGGAAAATGATGTTTTACTTTCATTTCTTCTTTGGAAAATCAGGACATGTACCATAGCTAACTCACAAAGTTGTTGTAAAGATCAAGTGAGCAAATATATACCAAAATATTCTGAAATATATACAAGCTTCTGTGATAGAAATAGCACTACTGTTAATTCATTTATTAAACACAGGAAAGTGACCCAAGTAGGAAATTTTTAGGAGGTGGCACCTTTTCTTCTATTTGGGCAGAAAAGCTCGTATTTCATTTGTGTGCTTTATGTTTTAGTCTTCATTCTTACTTCTCACTCAATCTTCTAAACCACACCTGAAAGCAGATAGTATATGGATACTATACTCCTGTAGTTTATAGGTTAATAAAATAAGAAGTAGTGAAGCATACAAAATAATAAGAAAATTTCTCTTTATGTTAATGATACGCAGGAGGAGACAAAGAGGTGTATATATGTAAGCTAATTAAGAAAAACGTCTGCATCTTTCTGTACTAGAGCCTTAAAGACTAATTTTTTTCTCCAATGATAGAGGTACTGGGATATAACAAACAATTTCTGGAGAGATTTCCAGTTGTCCCGGCCAGATGTAAAGCAGCCAGGACAAAAGTAGTTTTGGTCCCAATCCTGCTTTGATATTGTTCATTTCAGTTTTCTTTTAATCTCATCAAAACTGCATACCTATATCTGTGTAAGGTTCTTATCTGTATTGCTAGACTACAAGTTCCTTGACAGCAAACATTTTGTCACAAATGTTTTGGCATCCTTCTCAGTACAATTGCACACTGTAGGCAGTCAATAAATATATAAAGGGCAGGTGACTATTTGTAGATATTGAGGTCCAAGAAAGATGTTTCTATAAGTTCTTTTCTGGTTATGCTTAGCACTGGGCTACCCTGAATCATGTTTTAATATGTGCTTTTGAAGTATTATTTCACTAATGTGTTAAGATTTTTTTACCATTCAAATACTGGAAAAATAAGATCTTCAAGCAAATTTCACTCAGGTGTTTTTTTTTTTAATTTTCATTTTCTACCCATTAAACTGCTAAACCAAACTAATATGGTGATTTCCACATTAATATTTAATACTGCAGGGCTACCAACCACCAAAATGTCTTGTAACACTATTTCCAATGTGTTTATGCATTTTGAATGAATTTCCAATCTGTATCTTAGCTGGAATTGTAAATTCTAGGTTTACTTGAAAACAGAGAGAGGCATGAGTGGAGTTTTGGTGCTCACAGTAGAAAACAGAGAACCTGTGGACATTCTGTGAAACCTCATTAATAACATTAGTGATAATTATGAGTTGCAGGGGGAATCTGTAAGGATTATTATGAGAGGAGACATGCATGCCTTCAGAGGCTGTTTAATCAGACAGATGTAGGAGTTAGATGACATGCATCATTGAACATGAAAAGGCACAGACGTGAGTCAAAGGCAGTGCTACAAATAGCAAGGCCACACCTCATGACAAATTTGTACAGCCCCTTTTAAACTAAAAATACAGTTCTATTTCCATGATTTGAGAAGAAAAGACTGTCAGTCAAAATATTAAGAATCTTAAAATGTGGTAAAAATTAAGAAATATGGGACAGTAACACATTTACAGTAATAGAAGCATATTAGAAAAACTGCCAAAATTGATGATATAAAAGATGCTAAAAGATTAAGCAATTGAAACAGGTCTTATTGCAAAGTTACACTGCTGCCAGAACCATGGCTAAGTCATTATGTCTTACACTGAACAACGGGGAAAACCTCTTCCCTATAAAGCACAGCTTCAGGAAAAGCCCATCACACACAATCAGAGCACATCTAATACTATTTCATTCTTCAATCATTTACAACATTATAATGGCCAAGTAAAACTTACTTTGGTTTTTATAGGTCCTGGTTGAATTATATTGAATCTCATTCCATATTTACCCCATTCTGCTGCAAGAGACCTAGACATTAAAACAGACAAAAAAAGTTCTAAAATATTATGCCATATATGTGTGTGTGTGTGTGTGTGTGTTATATGTTAAAAATACAAATAACCAAGAATCACTTCATGCTTAATGCATGCCAGGGTTTATAATCAAACATCATACACTATTATAATTCCTTAAATTACAGATACGATATGTGAAATACAGCAAGGTTAACTCATTTGTCTCTGTATCTCTTCGAGCTAACCTATCAACCTCAAGGGTCTAGCTCCAGAGTTTGTGTCTTAATCCTTCTGCTCTATGCCCTACATTTAGGTTTCAGTGTCCCTGGTCACTATGCTACACAGTCTATCACTTATATCTTACAATAAGATCCAATATAAACACAAATTTTCATGTGGGTCTTCATTACTTACAGAAAAAGAAGAGAACTCAAGCTTTTTCTTTCACATTTTGTGGAGTTCAAATTCACATTTACAAGGTTCATTATAATTTTACTTATAATTTGTGCAATGGAACACAATGCAGCATCACATTTTCACTGAATAAAAGATGGATTATATAGCCTTAAAATATTAACCACATCCCTGTTTAACTAGAGTTTTGTGTAATTATTGAACTGAGCTTCAAAGGAAATAGGAATCTAACAAAATTTTACTAAATACCTTAAAAATATAACACTAATATTTAACATGTAACCATGATACAATCGGTTTTTAAAACGTACTTCCTGTATAGGCCTAACTTTTTTTTCAACTTCAAGTTATTTTATGAATTTATAGTGATACATATACCTATAAATCTTCAAATACATCTAGATAGATAGATAGCTTCAAAAATGATTCAAGGAGACTTTTTAAAACACACAAATAATTCAAATGAGAAAGATAAAAATGTAAGAGAAGCAAAGAAGGTGAGAGAAAAAAATGCAGGAAAATGTAAAAGGGCTGAGAATGAAGTTTTTATCTAAATCCATGATGATGTTTCATATAATTGCAAAAGGCAGGTGACAAATTTTCATGACCCCATGTAAAAACGGTAAGCCTATCTCCCCTATGAGAATTCAAAAATATAAATGAAAAGCATAAAAACAGATAAAAGGAAACAGGGAGCTAGCCCTACTGCACATGGAAAGGGGACCAAGAAGTGGAGGAAGGGGTAAGGATAGAGAGGAAGGCGGCATAAAAAAGAATTAAGACGTGTCATGTACATGGACCAAGCACCCATCATGAAAGTAGTCATTATGTGTCATACATGTATACTAATAAATAAATTAAAATTAAAAAGTAAGCCTAATCAGTTACACAGTTCACAGTGCCCACAAGAAAAAGCAAGCTAAAATTGCTCAGCAAAAGCACAAATATTTCTACTACAAAGAATAAATAAATAAGTAAAATCAGAAAAACATTTCTTCCTAACACACTTACAAAGGAAAGTTGTATAACTGTGTAATATAATAATGTTCCTAAGACACTATTTATTTCTAACAAATAAAATGCAAGTAAGGTAGCCATTCATAGAGTCTGATAGCATCGTTTCCAAGGTCAGTTCAGTTCTGTGAAGGAGAGGACATGCAGTGCAAACCGTTAATATAACTGAATTGGGGGCTGGGGATTTCGCTCAGCAGCATAAGCACCTGCCTTGCAAGCGTGCGGTCAGGAGTTCCATTCCTAGTACCAATTTTAAAAAAATTATATATATATATATATATATATATATATATATATATAACTGAATTGGCAAGTGCATTTAAAAAAAAATGGGCAGGCTTCCTCACTTGAGACAAATCATATTTTAAACTGTTTCTGTCAGTTGAGCTGATGGTGAAGCATATTAGATGATTCTACTTACCCCAGGGATGTACTCACAGGGAACCCACTCCAAATTGCTAGAGAATAACTTTGTGTCTTAACAGAATTACTCAACCAAGCAGTCTATTTCACCCTGTGAAGAACTGAGCAACCTACTGTGGAAATCTGCCCAGAGGAAGACCAAACCATTGCTGCTCAGATATATGCTAGGTAATTTTTTTCTCCTGCTTCCGGTTCTCATTAAGCTAGTTTACACACTGGAGAACTGTTGCACTATGATAAAGAATCCATCTCATGGAGTTCACTCCAGGTGTTACTATGCTAACCACAATATACCAACATGTATTAGGCATTATTATCATTCATTCAACAACTGTGTACTATGTGCTTACCCTGAGCCAACATTCTGTAAGTATTGTTAAGCTTCTAGAATGAAAATCGATCTCTGCTTTCAAGGAAGCAGTCTGTCTGTTTCCTGAGACATCAGTTGGGGAGAATAAGGAAAATGTGACTAACTCAGGAACTGTATAAAGTCTGCCACGGCTAACTGAAGGAAGAGCCACCTAAGCAGCCTGGAAGTGAGGAAGAAGGCTTCCATAAGGAAGCAGTAGTTGAGCGGACACTTGAAGAAAGATTAGACATTTGCTGTGGGAGGCAGGGGTAAGAAGAGGATGCATGGGTGTTTACAGAAACAAGGATGCTTAGGTGTCAGTATTTGTAAAAGACAAAGCACAAACAGCATCCAGAATGTGGGGATCTACACAACATATGCAGTATGACTGTGCCCTCTTACGTATGAAAAGAGGGTCAGTACGGGCTAGGGCTGTAAGGAAAGGTGCATACATCTGTTAAGTGTAATATACTATGCAGGGACATGAAGAGAGCCATGGGGTATGGTACAGGGTATGATACTGAAGCTTTAAAGGTCACAACAAAATAAATATTAATAATGTACAAATGCTGCCAAAATAGTCATGTGCAGTGTTTAATTTCTAATAATTTCTGATTTTTTTTAAAAGTAATTGTTTATACTAACACTCAACTTTGAATAAAGCTATTAGGCCTTTTGTTTGACACTTAATTCACAATGTAAGAGTTTGGACGGTGGAATCTAAAAAGAAGTGATTAAGTCATGAGGACTCTGCCCTCTGAATGGATTAATGTTGTTATCTCAAGAACGCTATAGGAAGAGTGGACTTACTGTAAATTGAGTTCAGCCCCTTCTTGCTCTCTTCCACACTTTCTCTCACTTTACATCTTGGGATGATTTAATAAAAAGATGCAGGCACCTTGATACTGAACATTCTCGGCTCTAGATTACTCAATAAATACATTTCTATCATTATAAAATACCTAGCTTCTGGAAATCTGTTACAGCCACAGAAAACAGACTAAGACAGAAAGCAGTACTTTCTCTATCAAACAAATATGTAAAACTGATCTAAATGCTAAAAGTACTTTGATATTCCTGGAAAACAAGAGCAAAATTTCAGCTCAACAAGCACTGAACGCAAACTACATAGCAGATCCTACTGGGTAATGAGAACTCACACCCCTAGAGGGAAGTCAGATAGCTGTAGGGTCATGTGTAAAAGTGTATTATGTCCTTCTGTCTGTGCTCTGCCACCCTGATATACTACCTGCATCTCAGAATCCATTTTTCAATGTGTCACCTCATGAGATAGGATTAAACAAAGTTTTATAGAACAGATGATAAGGACTGGTTAATTAATTCAGTGTAGATAATGAAAAAAAAATATGCCAGAACAAATGATATAATAAGCTTTAAAATTAAGCACCATATCACAGCAAAAATTAATAACAGCATAACTTAGATACAAACACGTGGCATACTTAAGGGAACAATAATAGTAAAGCTGATAAAGCCCAGGAATAATGGATGGAATGATACGACATCAGGTGAGAACAAGGACTGCTCTATTTCCAGTCAAGCATGGTGACGCATGCCTGTAATTCTAGCACTTCGGAGGCTGAGGCAGGAGGATCACTGTAAGTTCGAGGCTAGCCTGGGCTACGTACTCAAGGCCAGCCTGAACTATACAGCAAGACCCTGTCTCAAAAAAAAAAAAGTGTTGTTGTATTCCCATGTCCACCATATGCCTGTATCTACCACAATGGCAGGCACACTGTAGGTATGTGATAGTTAAGACAGTTACTGCTTAAATGAATTAATAAACAAAGGCCTGGACAAATTTACTTAGAATGTCATGCTGTTTGGACCTTTATTCCAAACAGTAATAGAAAATGAGCTAATGTTTTTAGCTAAAGAATAACAAAAAACATATATATTTTTAGAAAGATAATTCTGATAGAAATATAAACTTAAAAAATGAAAGGGAAAATCATCGATAGCAAAGGAATATACTGCAGGATTATTGTATTAGCCAGATGGGCAATAATGAGAATGCCCCATTACAACAAATACAATGGAGAAAGCCAATGGGGAAAAAAATTTAAAAAGCAATCATTATCTCCTAAGCAAAGGTCTAGACCTGGCAAGCGCTCAGAGTCTGTGTTACTCCCAATAACCTTACGCAGTAGGTACAATAAAAAGATGAAGATGTGTTTACAAGGTTAGAGATGACACTAATCAGGATGCGCAAAAGGACAAAAAGCCTGTGATGTCTGAAGAAGACATTAGTCACATGTGACTCTAAATGTTTTAAATTCAGGTTCTCAGTCACAGTGGCCATATTTCAAGGGTTCAATCACTACATGTGGCTCTTAGATATTGCAGATTTATAGGACATTTCCATCAAAAGTGCTATTTTAGGCAATTAGGATTCATCTAGGAAACAGAATGTGTCTCTTGGTGAACCCAAATTAGTCTTTTTTTTTTTTTTTTTTTTTTTTTTCCTCTAGATGGAAACCAGAAAACAGGAATTTAGGTCCATGAGCTACCAAAGCACTTCATTTATCTTCAGCAACAGGATGAACATAGAAGGCTCACTTGTTCATGGCTTCCACGCCAGCTTTGGAAGAAGAACTTGGTACAACAAAACCAGATCCCGACTCAGCATAGATTGTTGTAATGGCAAGAAATGCTGCTCCTGAAATTTTACAGGACACGGGTTATTAACAATACAGCTGTATCATTATACATCAAGAAAACTCGATTTACAAGAATAAGATCTGACTCATGAGGATATAACAAAACCTGGAGATTAAAAAAAAAAAAACACTTTTACTAGCTCCATACTAATCAGGGAGTAATCTAAGAATATTGCTTTGCCTTGCTAGTCTTGCTATGATTAGGTATCCCTTCTGCACATACTTGAAATTTTCTACACTTACTGAGTCAATACTGAGGCATAAATCTTGGAGGCATGTCCCTGTAATACCTCATATAACCAGCTGGATAGCATTTCCAATAAGTAGCAATCAGATAACAATACATCAGCATTAAATGAAATTATGAAAGACTAGCCATGATGGACTTGACCTCCTGCTGCATGTTTTATAAGAAAAATGATACAACCATTTTTAGATACTGCACAGCAGGCAGAAAAGGACAGGAATCTTTCACAGAAGAGGAGTCTCTGCATCATTTTTTTTTCTTTATGTCTAAGCATACCACACAGACTGTAGCAAAACAGGAATCCAAGCAGAGAATTGCAAAGAATTAAGGAGACAGAGATTAGAATTATGGAGCCTGAAGAAACTGAGCTTTCTGAGTAAGAGTCAACCCAAAGAGAAAAGTATGCTGGGACAAGCTCCATGGATCTTCAGAGTCCCTTGAGTCTGGCCAGATGCCAAGCCATCTATGTTAGATACAAGATAAACCACTCCAAGGTCTCACATATACAGGAATTCTAAGCAAATTAAATGAATACAGGGCTTTCTGTAGAAGGCTCAGAAAAGATACAGCTTAGTAGAAGAGATAAATTAGTCCAAATTAGGCTCTATGTTCACCCAAATAAATCTTTAAAATGAGATTTAAAATAATTTTAAAATTAATAAAATGAAATTCAACATATCTCAAAGGAAAATTTAAAAGTCACACACAATTTCAATTTCTGAATATATTACAGGAAAATATATATAGAGAGATATATAGATATGTGAATATATGAATATATATATATATTCCTAGAAAAAAAGGTACCTGAGAAATAATGACTGATGAAAACAAACCTCCAAATTTAGTAAAAACAATATATAATTCTACAAATCTAAGAAAATGCCAACCAGGATAATGGTTGGGGTGACATTATGGCAAATTTTAATCCCTTAACTTTGTAATAAAGAAAAAAATCTGAATACCAATAAGGAGTATGAGGAGAAATGGAGGAACACAGATAAAAACGTTCACTGATTCTCAGCAGAAACAGTGTAAGCTAGACCACCACGAGAAGATGGCAGAGTGGTAAGCAACAGAGAAAACAGCCTCTCTGAGAGTCACCATACAGACGCTGGAAGACAGCACTGTGAGGAAAACAAGGAGGAGGGAAGCGGGTCCCTGCACCCAGACATAATTTCAAGCATGAACTGAAGCCCATAGCAAGAGTGAAGAGAGAAACTTCAGCAAAGGAGGTAGCTAGCAGTGCCTTCTTCCTGAGACGGGACTCACTACGTGAGCGGAGCAGCTTGAACCTGCAGACGCACAGTAACTTGACTGCCGGTGACCCTGGTCTCTGCGCAGAGGCAGGGCAGTGAAGGGGAGCAGCAGATGTGAGACTACACTGGCTGGCAGTGAATGCAGAAGGCTTAGTCTTCCCACGGGGAGAACTGGCCAGAAGCTGTCTTAGAGACGGGCTAGCTGAGCTCAGAATCCAGAGCTGATGCTGGCTCCATCTAGTGACTCCCAGCTGGGCTCAGACCCATGAAAATTGCTCAGACAGCCGTGAGTTCAGTGAGTCTAGTCTCAGGAAGGCCTGCTGAGATTATCCAATACCCCACCCAAAAGCTACTGCTGGCTTGCTGCAATAGATCTGCATCCATCAGCACTCTGTTTCTAAAGACTGTCTACTAGTGAAACCAGAGAGAATCCTGAAAATGGACTTTTTTTTCTTTTTTTTTTCTTTCCTTCTTTTTATGAGTTGAACGTGATTCCTAGCCTCTTTGTGACTGTGATCCTGTTCTGTTTTTCCTTTTATCTCTTCCATTTCTCTTTTCCTTCAGTCATATGTCCCTATTACCCAAGGTTGGCATGATCCCCCTTTGTCCTTCAGCTTAATTCTAATCTCTTCTTACAGTTCTCTGTTTTTCCCTAATCTATTTTAAATTTTAACCCCCAAGGACAAATTGACTTTTTAAGGACTTGTATACTGCATATAATTTTGTTTTGTTTTAGATTTTATTATATAACCACAAATCTAGTTCATATGGTTAAAAGTGGGAAATTAAGAGTTAGCTCAGTTTGACATTTTCTAGACTGTGTTTGATACTGTTGGTACCACTACAGCCAAAACCAACATAACTGTTCTAAACAGCTGTTTGTCCTAATATTCCATGACTGAGATGAACTAAGGATCACAGAAAATACTGTGGCACAGTGCCAATGAACCAGGAACTGAGCCAAACAACTAAAAACATCTCATCTCTAACAAATTGCAGAGGTAAGATCTTCCAACAGACTCAAAACCCAAAAAACCAGGTACACCTAGAAGATACCTAAACGAAATAGTCATTACCTAGAGGTCCTTAGCAGTAAAGCAACCCACCATAGGCAGTTTACAAGCATCACTCCAGGAATTAAAACTAAAAACAGAAAGAAAAGAAAATGAGAACACACTTAAACAAAATGCAACCCCAGACCTCCAGTTCGCCAAAGGCAAACACAGGAGCAATGAGATGAGACAATCCAAAAGCCTCCCACCAGGCCTCTCTGAAGTGGTAACACAGAGCAATTGAAAGAAGCTCTGGAAAAAATAAAATCCGAAATAATCTCTCAGCTAAATACAGAGATGGTGTGTAAAATAAAGACCATGCTTCACGATACTAGAGCAGATACCGACAAAAAAAAAAAAAAAATAGATGAGCTTAAGAAAATTATGGAAGCTCATCAAAGGAAAGAAATGGAATTCATAAAGCAGATTCAAGCAGATATTCCAGAGAATAAAAATTTCTTGGAAAAAAAATCCATTGAAAGTATTCGAAGCAGATTAGGCCAGTGTGAGGGCAGGATTTCATATACTGAAGACAGGCTTGCAGTTAGCAACCAAGAAAAGAAAGATTTCTCAAAAATAGCAAGGGAACATGATAAATCAATCCAGCAACTGCTAGATGAGACAAAGAATAACTTAAGATTGAATGGAGTCAATGAAAAAGCAAAAGATACCACAAATGATACAAAAAAAAAAAAATGTTCACAGACATCATGGCACAAAACTTTCCTGGTACAGAGGACAATGAAATGACACCTTTAAAATACTGAAATAAAAAAAAAGTTGTCAATCATATATCCTGCAAAAGCACCCTACAAAAATGAAGTTGATGGAAGGAAAAAAGAGGTAAAAGTGATTTGGATATGATAAAGTATATGTACCATTTCCCCAAGATGAATCTAATTACTGTGTATCTCAAACATATACCAATAAACCAAAAGAACTGAGAAAAATAAAACAAAAGAGCTGAGAAGCTGAGAGAAATCACTGTCATTAGACTTACCCTCAAAAAGATTTTAAAAATAGTGGTTTAGGCTAAATAAAAATGATAATAAATAGAAATTCTGATCATGAGAAGGAATGATCAGAATAATAGAAACAGTAAATACATAAGTAAATAGAAAAAATATTATTTTGCTTAAATTTCTTTTTACAAAATGTCTGCATAAGGGTATACTAAAAATGACATTGTATATGTAGAAATGAAGAGTGCCTGGAGCACAGTACAGATTTTCAAGTTTACTGAAGGAATCAGATTAAAACTGTGATCTTTAGCTTTTGAGAAACCAGTGATTTTTCTATTTCATATTCAGACATAAAACCAGATAAGAAAATAAGTTTAGTATTTGCAGAAGAATCAAAATATATTTGTACATATCCCAAAACATAGTTTAAGAAATGTAAAGACTACGACAAACATATTTTGAAGAACATTCAAATAAGTTTTCTTCTCTCTACATATTTAGCTTCTCTTTCCGTCATCTTTTTCAGAATAGAAATAAAACCCAGTACAACCTGGAGAACATGGTGGTAGAAAAGGGGCAGGAGTGCCATTTTAAGAATAAGGGACATAAGAATGGTTACCTAGGGCTGGGGATTTAGCTCAGTGGTATAAGAGCCTCCTTGGCAAACACAAGGTCATAAATTCAATCCCTGGTACCAAAAAAATAAAAAAGGATTATTTACCTTAGTCATTCTGGTATCACCTTTTACATACCAAACTCAGCCTTTCAGATCTCCGAAAACTGTTTCCAAAATCTTACTCTGAAAGAGAAGGGAGTGTGGCAGGCTGAAGCCCATCTAGGTGGAGAATCACCAGCATCTCCTGAGAGCCACACCATGTTGGAACTTAGGACACTGGGAAACCAAGCAAGCAGCTCCCCTCCCTGGTAAGTGGCTCTGGTATGGCAGGCTGCAGCCCCTCCAGGGGGAGAACCACCAACCAGTGTCTCCTGAGACCCATGCCATGTTGGAACTTAGGATGCTGGGAAACCAAGCAACCAGCTACCTTCCCTGGTAAGCAGCTGTGGTGTGGCAGTGTGGCAGGCTGCAGCCCCTCCAGAGGGAGAACCACCAACATCTCCTGAGGTCTGCGCCATGTTGGAACTTAGGAAGCTGGGAAACCAAGCAACCAGCCTGCCTCCCTCCCTTCTAAGCAGTAGTGGTGGTGAGTAGTAGTCAGCCTACTGGTACACGGGCTGAGAGTCTGTCATTCTACTTCCCCAACCCCCCATCTCCTGCCCCCATTAGCAAATGGGAACCAGAGATCTGAGTATCTCCTTGGGAGGTTGACCATAGCAAATAAGGGGGATTTCCTTCTACCACCTCCTTGAAGGCAAATATTTTTATTACTGTTTTGCTTTATTTTGATTAATGGTACTGCTCCATTCAATATTCTGTTTTGATAAGTTCTATAATGTTCTGTATTCCATTTTATTTTGATA